TTTTCAAATTTCTTCTTTTTCTCAAAGAAAATTTTTCCACTACCAAAATTATTGCTATTTCCCTTTTGTAAGTTTTTGTTTCTCTTTAATGAAATACATTTTATCCGTTGAAGATTTAAGGAATAATACTTAAAGTTACTGTGATGTTTTAAGTTTATTAAAGTATTGAAAGGATGCTACACAACTGATACTTTCTGAGGACTGAAAAACTAGAGATTGAATAGACTCAATATAAGCGTTATATTAATGTAAATATTTATCTCATCATTTTCTTTCAGCAAAATAGCTCATATTCATTATGGTTAGAGTAAACAACAAGAAATATCCTCCACTTGACGTAAAGCTTTAATTTGTTAATGAGAACGTAGACTTAAGAATGGTCCTAGACTGGGTGACTGGGTATATAGAACGCAACTCAGCATGGACTTTGTCTGAGCTTAATGAAATATGCAACCCATCCATCTCCTAAAGAAGTGTGACAGTATGTTTGACCTCACTTAGTTTTACTACAGCATACTAACACTTTAGCTTCTTTTCTTACATCATACTGTAGGTTCTCGTAATGTAAGTCTTTACTTACTTAGAACTGATTATCATAGCCTCTGTTGGCCTGTATCGATATGTAGCCTTTGGAATATCATTTGGATTATCAAGCTAACCTTTTAGTGAACTGGTATATGCTGGTCGTAATAAGATACTCAACTTCACAATTCTAATGTTCAGCCATTTCTCTATTCAGACTGTAGATTCTTGCTGGAAAGAGAGTTTACATCAGGAGAATTCATCATTAAGAGAACAACTTTCTTTTTCTTTAAATCAAACTGCTAAGCTTTCTTTTGAACGAGATCATTTAAAGCAAGAATTAATTGAACTTTCTTCTCTTTCAAATCATCAAAAAAATAGATTACATCGTTTTCAAAGATCGAATCATCAGCTTAAGGATAGGGTATCCGTTATAAGATCGATTTGTAAAATTTAGTGGCAAAACAATCAAAAATAAAAATAGATTTAACATGTAGTTACACATAATTACACGTGATCACATCGATTCAAAGTATATAATTTATATATAAAATTAGTAAATTATTTTTTTTATTTGATTTCAAAAGCTGATACCAATTATTGTTTTCTATATATTCTATAGCCATGTTTATAGTTCCAATAATATAACATGAATCCATTAAACTTGAAGAACCTTCTTTCCAAGATTTGAGTTCAATCTCTAATTTAATAACATCTTTTGAGATAAGTATATCAGCAAGATTCACGTATATTTATCTTACTATTTTTATTATACCCATATTCTTTTAGGCTTGTAAGATCTTTATCACGCACATTAACATTTTTAGTACTACAAAATACATCTACTATATCATGTATAGTTATATGAGAAAACTGTAAATTAGGATTCCTTCCTCTCAATACTAATTCTTGTACAATTTTTATCAATCGTAATGCCTCTACTTTTATATCATACCAAACGGCTTCATCAGCTTCACGCCTTTTACAATTATCACATTCACCACATTCAAGAATATCAGGATCATTAGACCAAAGGTATGGTTGATATACTATTTGCTGACGACATTCATAAATATTTTTACAAATTAATGACATTTCTAAGATATTTTTTTTTCCTTTATTTAGGTAATTTTGTCGATAAATTATTTCAGTATACTCTATTTTATCTATCGATTCCTCTTCCAAACTTAATATATTTGTTTGAGATATATCATTAATACTAAAATAAAATAATATTTAGTATAATTTCATAAATATAATTAATGTATAAAATGTATTGTAATTATTTACCTTCACGTCCTGCTGTTAATATTATTAATAAACTACGAGTATCTCCTTTTGCATAAAAAATAAAACTATGCGCTAAATTTCCATTCCTTCTGGCTCTACCAATTTCTTGAATATAATTATCCAATGATAATGGAAATGAAGTATGAATAATAATACGAACATTATCAATATTAATTCCCATTCCGAATGCATTTGTTGCAACTATAAATTTGATGGTTCCATTTTTAAACAATTGGCTATTTGACTTTTTATCCTCACTTGACATTTGACTATGATAAATCCCAACTTTTGAATCACCAAAATGATCTTTTAATGACTGTGCAATCTTTATACATTCAGGAATAGAAATAGTATAGATTATACTACATCCAGTTATCATTTTGTCTAATATTTCGAAAATTTGGGTAATAAACTTCTCATAATTAGCCAGTTTGGATTTTACAGAAAGTTTTAACTCGGGTCTATGTATTATTGAATCATGAACTATATTTAAATTGGAGCAACAAAGATTTTCTTAAATATTTTTTGCAGTTTGTTGATGACAGGTAGCAGTAAGAAGCAATAAGGGTGCTGTTGGGAAGTCATTTTTCAAATAACCAAGCTTAGACTAATCATCTCTATTTAATATATAAGTTAATTATTATATACAAATTATTATTTAATCATATACTTGTATTTATATACCTGTAATACTCATAATCTAAAACACAATGTACTTCATTTATTACAAATTGCACCCCCGAATTTTATCTACATTTTTTAAAATATTTCTAAATTTAGGATTTTTAATATATTTCTCAGCCATTACAAATAATATACGAATTAATCCAGAAGCTATTTCTCCAAAAATTTTTCTTGAATGGCAGATGGTTGATCTGAAGATGCAAACAATACTGCCACAGGTATTCCTATATTTATCAAACTATGCTTTAAAGATAAGTTAAAATTTTAGTAAATTTAATACTTATAATTAAAA